TGGCAAAGCAATGTCTCTGGTTTTTAATATGCTATCTATGTTGGTCATAACTTTTCTTCCAAGGAGTAAGCGTCTTTTAATTTCATGGCTGCAATCACCATCTGCAGTCATTTTTGAGCCCCAAAATAAAGTCTGTCACTGTTTCCACTGTTTCCCCATCTATTTGCCATGAAGTGATGGGACCAGATGCCATGATCTTAGTTTTCTGAATGTTGAGCTTTCAGCCAACTTTTTCACTCTCCTCTTTTTACTTTCATCAGGGGGCTCTTTCGTTCTTCTTTGCTTTCTGCCATAAGGGTGGTGTCATCTGCTTTTCTGAGTTTATTGCTATTTCTCCCAGCAATCTTGATTCCAGCTTGTGCTTCATCCAGCCTAGCATTTCTCATGATGTACTCTGCATATAAGTTAAATAAGCAGGGTGAGAATATACAGCCTGGACGTACTCCTTTCCCTATGTGGAACCAGTCTGTTGTTCCATGTCCAGTTCTAACTGTTGCTTCCAGGCCTGCATACAGATTTCTAAGAGGCAGGTCAGGTGGTCTGGCATTCCCATCTCTTGAAGAATTTTCCACAGATTGTTGTGGTCTACATGGTCAACGTCTTTGGCATAGTCAATAAAGCAGAAGTAGATGTTTTCCTGGAACTCTCTTGCTTTTTCGATGATCCAGTGGATGTTGACAATTTGATCTCTGGTTCTTCTGCCTTTTCTACATCCAGCTTGAACCTCTGGAAGTTCACAGTTCACATACTCTTGAAGCCTGGCGTGGAGAATTTTGAGCATTACTTTACTCGCGTAGCATTAAGTGCATTCAAACTTTGGGCAACCATCACCATCATTCCAGTACTTCATCTTCTTAAACTGAAACTCTGCCCCCACTATCATCAGTTCCCTACTCACTCCCCCTACCCCAGCCCCTGACACCCGTGCTCTGCATCCTATCTCTATGAGGGTGACGCTCCAGGCATCTCATATAAATTGGAATCACACCGTGTTTGTACTTTTGAGATCGCCTGATTTCATTTTGCATAATGTCCTGAAGGTTCGGTCATGCTTTAGAAAAGCAAAACTGATTTGACCTCTGTAACTTGCTGTGCCCCTGCAATGAGACACAGGGCACAGATCCTCTGGTGAACGAAGGTGCCCCCTGACTGGCATTGTTGTACTCGGGCACAAGATGGAGAGGCTGGGGGAGGCAGCACCTTCCCGGGGGTGGCACTGGGAGGCTGTGCCCTGTCCAGTGCCTGGCCAATGTCCCGACTAGGTTGCTGAAGAGCAGGGTGGGGCCAGCGTCTCTGAGAGTGCCTCTGACACTGATACTTCCTCAGCAGGGGAAGGGTGTTCTGTGTGGCCCCAGGGTCTGGGAGCAGGGCTCAGTCTTGGGGTCTTTGGGGCTCACTCACAACAAGGTCCTCCCTGCCCCTCGTCATGGTCATAGGACATCTGCCTCAAATTGGCCTTCATGAAGAGCGTGGTGCAGGTCACCGATGCCATCAAGAACATCAAGGACCTGGAGGACTTCCAATTTGCCCAAAAGGTGACCCTGACTGGCATTATCATGGTAAGCTGTCTGGGGGGATCCGTCCATCCTGGGCAGTTTGGGGGTCTCACTCTGCTGACCAGAGGCCATCTGAGGCCCAAGGGGTGGCAGGGGTCTCCAAGTCCCCGCCAGTCTCAGTGCTGCTTTGACCTGACTGTTGGTGTTCTGCGTGTGACGTTCTTATATCTGATAAAGGTTTTCATGGCCAGGAAACATTCCAGAAGCCGGGGCTGAAGACCCCGCCCCCGAGCCCGGTGATGCCCCGAAGGTGTCTGGTTCCGGGCGGGGAGACAGAGCCCCGTGGTCAGCCCCTGGCGAGCCCCAGCATTTCTCCCTAGTCAGGACCAGAAGGTCGGGCTCTGCCATGGACAGGACTTAGAGCTACTTTTGCCCAGAACTTTGTTAAGATCTAGAAAGTACCAGCTGTGCAAAGGCAAGAGGCAGCGGCGGGGGCTCCTGAGGCTGTGGGTCAGCCCGTCCCTCGTCCCCAGACCTCTCCACTCACCTGCGATGGAAACCCTGGCCCCTGGACACCCTCTGGCTGCACTGTCAGCGCCCTGGAGGGAAGGGAGATGCGGATGGTCAGGAGGCCCTGAGAAAGAAGCAGACATTCACCAGGCTCCCGCTCGGGGTCGGGCGACACGCATATAATTTCACAGCAGCCTGGAGGGAAGGGAGATGTGGATGGTCAGGAGTCCCTGAGAAAGAAGCAGACATTCACTAGGCTCCCACTTGGGGTCGGGCCACATGCATGTAATTTCACACCAGCCTTGCACAGCCCTGTGAGCCAGGCCCCGAGTCATCATTTCACACCTGAGCAGGGGCTCAGGCTGAGGAAGCGATTTGCCCAAGGATACACAGCCAGTAAGTGGCAGAGATGAGTGAGACACACCTGCCCATCTTAGCCCCACTGTTCCCATGAGATTTGCTGCTTCCCTTGGGCTTCCGACGTGGCTCAGCTGGTAATGAATCTGCTTGCAATGTAGGGGACCTGAGTTCGATCCCTGGGTTGGGAAGATCGTCTGGTGAAGCGAAAGGCTACCCACTCCAGTATTCTAGCCTGGATAATTCCATGGACTGTATAGTCCATGGAGTCACAAAGAGTTGGACACGACTGAGCAGCTTCACCTAAAACATCAAAGGCCAACTGACCATGAAAAGAATGAAAGCGCCTGTGGTATTGTATCCTGTCGTACGATGTCAGGTACTCCTGCCTGTAACACAGGGCGTGCCCCCGCCATCTGTCCCCCAAGCCCCTGCCCTGGCCGTGGCGCGACTCCGGGTGGCTGGCAGATCATTGCCCTGCTGTCCTGGCAGGCAAACATCAAGGCAGAACCGACTGACAGCCTGGTTTCTCCCGTGCGGACCATGGCCATGGATGCCCTGTAATACTTGAGGTGAGCCAGGCCCCTGGCCAGGCCCCCAGTGCCGCCCTGGGTTGCAGACAAAGTCTGAGACCACCTCTCGGTGCCGTTGGGGGAAGGTCACACCTCCTTTGGGGCTTCCCTGGCGTCTCGGATGGTAAAGAATTTGCTCGCAATGTAGAAGACACAGGATCTATCCCTTGGTCTGGAAGACCCCCTGGAGATGGGAATGGCAATGCACTCCAGATTCTTGCCTGCAGAACCCCATGGGCGGGCTATAGTCCATGGGGTCAAAAAGAGTCAGATTCGAACACTTTCACTTTAAACAAAATTACTGGTTTTGGGTAGGAGTGGGAGCGCCCAGAAAGGTGAAATACAGGAGCCCATTGGAGGGCAGGAGTTTAGAGTTTAAGTGAAGGGTGGCTCTCCTTTCTGAAGGCAAAAGAGAGCCAATGAGGAGCTTGTAACAATCCTGCAACCCTGCCGCACCAAAGACTTCAACAAGGATCCCTGGACCTGGGCATGGCCCCTGGGGCCCTTAGAAAGCTCTCCTGTGACTCTAATATGCAACTAGGCTTGAGATCCACCTATGAAGGGGACAGAAAGAGAATCAGCTGGTGTGCATCACGCAGCTAGCTACTACCACCAAAGGTTTATTAAAACACAGATGGCCTCCATTCCAGAAGTTTTTTGGTGTTTTCTAAGATTTTTTTTTACGTGGACCATTTTTTTAAAAGAATTTATTGAAGTTGTGTTACAGTATTGCTTCGGTTTTATGTTTTGGCTTTATGGCCACGAGACGCGTGGGATCGACCCTGCACCCCTGGCACAACACGGCAAAGCCTTAACCACTGGGCCGCCGGGGAGTCCTCCACTCCAGACTTTGTGATTCAGCAGCTCTGAGGTGGAGACACAGAACTTGCATTTTCTAATAAACTCCAAGGGGATGCTGCTGGTGCTCTTAGTCCAGGTGTTACAGTTGAAAAGTCCTGGGCCAGGACCACCCAGAAGCAGAGTCTGTGGTTGCAGTCAGGGAGGACCAGTGGAATGTTTCTGAACAGGGGAGAGAGAGACTCAGAGCAGACAGTGATAGGAGAGGTGGCTGTGGACGCCTGCGTCTCCCCTTCCGTCACAGACAGACAGTGGACTGGAGCCCTGGTGGGTGGACCCGGGGCCCTTGGGGAGGGACAGATGCCTGAACCCCCAAACAGAGAAGCTGGCCCTCCCTCATTCTGTGACATGGCTCCTCCCACCGCCCCCCAGACTGGGCAGAGCAGGGTCTCAGCTCCCCACTGATCACTCCTCTTGTCACTTCTTTCTCTAGCAAACTGAAGCCTTTCTACTCCACAGAGGAATGCAGTGAGCTGATGGATATTAGTATACACTCTGTAATTTCTCTCCAGCCCCCAGGAGAGAGCAATGCGTCCATTAAGGTAGGTCCCTCTACAACACCTCATTTTCTGGGTGAGGACTTGGAAGTTGACGTTCACATGGGCAGTGCTTGGAGCCCACCGTCCTGGACCACCTGGGAGTGGTCAGGGCAGCAAAGTACAGCAGACTCTTTCAGTAAGTGTAAGGTGATGGGAGCTGTTGCAACAGATACGCTCTGAAATCTTCATGGTTTAACAAGATGACCGTTTTTCTCACTCGAAGTCCAGCTGGCAGCAGAGGTGGAGAGGGGGCTGCTTCCTGCGGTTGATCAGGGCTGTGGGCTGACAGGTGAGGACTCGCTCAGATCTCATTCCTTGCCATGGACTCCGCTGGGGACAACACTGCAGGTGGGGCTGAGGTGAGAGGAATGAGGAAGCTGGTGACTGGAGGGGAGTTGCCCCCCAGCTCCAACAAAGCAGGTTCTTGAGGGGAAAACAGGACAGAACAAAACACCACAGCCCTCGGGTCTGGACCAGCCAGCCGTCTCCCCTCCCAGGGCGCTGTGGGCAGCCTCAGGCCTACCTGGCCTCATGCAGGCTGTCCCCGGAGTCCCCTCCCTGTCTGAACGGCCCTGCCTCTGGGAACCAACCTTCTCCAGGGAGGGGCTGTCGAAGCTCTCGATCTGGTTGTTCAGCTCTTTGCTTAGTCGCCGGCTCCAGCGGGAATCCTAAGTCATCTTGAGGGAGTTTCTCAGAAACTGGGGGTGGGGGGAAGAAGGCACAGGTGGGCAGTGCTCCAGAGGGCTGTGCTCCTCGAGCCGTGACTCTCCCTCTCCAGCGGCTTCCCTGGTCTCTAGAGGGCTTCGCCCTTTCAGCCCCGACCCAGCCTTGTGCTGTGCAGGCTTGGGGGCTGCCGGGAGGGGTCACCCTGTGCTGCCTCTGGGGCTTTGGCTTCCAGGGTGGGGTCTCATGCTGTAGCTGCTTGTGCTCCCCAAGTCTTGTGACAGGAGGGGAACGTGTCCCCTAGGGTCTCCAGAACTCCCCACACGCCAAACCCACAGAGAGCTGCCCCCACCGCCCCCCACCCCGGCCTCAGGTGGTGGGATCACCTCTACCTGAATCAGCTTGTCCTCCCACGACTTTTGGTTCCAGGTAAACTCGGTGTGTTCTGCAAAGAGAAGGTCCACCCGTGCTCCTGTCTCCTGCGGCTCCTCCACGCCGCCTCCTAAATGCAGCATCTGGGGTCCTCCATGGACGGGCTCCCCACAGCCCCATGTCCCTCCCCACCCTCCCAAGGAGCAGAGTAGGCTGTGCCGGCCACCTGGAGCCCGGGCGCCTTTGCTCAGGCCACGTTACAGGCACTCGGCATGTACAGTGATGTGAGGTCGCCACACACCCCGGGCTCCTTTGCTCAGACCAGGTGGTGAGTACCCGGCATGTACACTAGGGGTATGTGGGGGGATCACACACGCACTCCAGCTCCTTTGCTCAGCCACAGGTCTAGCACCCGGCGGGTACACTTAGGGGGTGGCTCACACATGCAGCCGGGGCATCTCACCCTCCAGGTACTTGACCAGCATCAGGATCTTCAGCTCCTTCATGTCGGCCGTGGAGGGGTCGATGCTCTGGCTCAGGGTCTTCAGAAGGTTAAGCATGGCGATTCTGCAGCCCTCCCTCTTGTAGGGGGACGACATCAGTACCTGGGGAACACTGAGACTCCAGTGGGGCCCCTCGCTGGCTGGGTAGCCCCAGGCCCCGCACGCCCCAACCTGGGGCCTCGCTGTCTGAGCCCATAAAGGGAGAGTTGGACAGGATGGGGCCTTTCAAGCAGAGCTCCGAGGATTCCCAGGATCAGAGCATCCCTGCAGAGGATGCTGAAGGCAGGAAAGGAAACACGAGAGCATGGACTCCCTCCCCACCCCGGGTCCCATGGAGCTCGGAGCAGGGTCAACACAAGGAGGAGGATGCATGGTGCAGGGAGGAGCTGACCCCCAGGGAAGGGCAGCCTGCTGACAGAGTCCTACGGATGCTTGGGGCCATTCAAAGGCCCAGCAGAGAAATCTGGGAGCCTGCTGCCCTTTCCATATCTCCCCAGAGGGCTCACGGGGGCCTGGAAAGCTCTGTCCTGTCAAACATCAGCTCCCTGTTCCCCCTGGAGGCCCCGGGGATTAGGAGCTCATGGGAGGGGAGCCTCAGGACACAGCAGGGGCCAGGCCAGTGCACGACCCGTGAGCCACTCACCAGGAGTCGGGCCAGCAGAATCTGTGGCATGGGTAGATCCACTGGGGAAAGAAAGATGCAGGACACTGAGGCTGCCCCACTCCTGTACACTGGGGGGCTTCCCCTGCAAGGTGTTGCCCGAACAGCATCCCAGAGCCCCCAGAATTCTGGAGGGGTCAGGATGGGGGATTTTCCACAAAGGATATCACTACAACTGGCCATCCCGGGGAGGAGGAGCCTGGTGCTCTGGGCTGGGGCTGAGAAGATGCTGGGTTTTTTTTTCTTTCCAATTTATTTATTTGTTTATTTATTTTAATTGCCGGCTAATTACTTCCCAATATTGTGGTGGTTTTTGCCATACATTGACAGGAATCAGCCATGGGTGGACATGTGTTCCCCATCCTGAACCCCCCTCCCACCTCCCTCCCCATCCCACCCCTCAGAGCCATCCCAGTGCACTGGCCCTGAGTGCCTGCCCTGTTTCATGCACTGAACCTGGACTGGCGATATTTCCACATGTGCTAATGTACATGTTTCAGAGCTATTCTCTCACATCATCCCACCCTTGCCTTCACCCACCAAGTCCAAACGTCTGTTCTTTACATCTGTGTCTTTTGCTGTCTCGCATATAGGGTCATCGTTACCATCTTTCTAACTTCCATACATATGTGTTAATACACTATGCTCTTTTCAGGATGTGCCCACTTGGGAGTGCACACCCGGCTGGCCTGAGAGTGTTTCTCTCCTACTGTGAGTCTTAGCCTCCTTGAGCCAACATTAACTAGACATCGCCCCCTCCCCTCCCCTCCCTCTGCAGGCTTTGGGACGCTGTGAACCCATGAGAAGGGATCTCACAGCATTTGGACCAGTAGGCTAGGGAAGGGCAGGCCTGCCGGAAGCTGCAGGGAGGGGCGGCACCCAGGAAAGAGCCAGCCCCAGACACAGGGTCCGGGCAGGAGGCAGACCAGGGGTGGTCTTGCCAGATGCTCAGAGCAGGCTCTGCCCCTACCATCGCTGGGTCCTGTAGGCTTGTAGTCACCTTCTGTCACTGGCAACATCCATCCTCAAAGCCCCAGGACCATGGCAGCAGCCCCCTGGGACAGCAGGGTCCCCGTTAGTAGGTCAGTCTAGTCCCTTTCTTGAGGGTCTGTTACTAACAAGGGCATCATCACGGTGAGTCACAGGGCCTGGTGGGGGTGGTTCCAGAGGCCTCAGATAGGATATACAGTCCTTCCAGTGGGCTCACGGGGGCCAGAGAGCTCACACCAGCGGGAAGCCTGAGCCAGGACCCCTGCCCTGGGGTCTGGGCCAGAATGGGCAGGAGGTGGGGACGAGAGGACTGGGCTGCCAGAGGAAGCCTGCATGACTTTAACCTCCTCAGATTTCGGCAAGGGCGGCCTCTTTGGCAAGGCCTGGCTCTCTGGGCTCCAGGCTGCTTCCTGGAGAAGAGGGAGCTGTCCGAGGCACGGGGCGGCCCACCTGCCCAGTCCCTCCAGCTGGCGCAGGGGGGCTGCCCACCGTGCCTGCTCTTGCTTGTGCTGGCCTGCTCGTCCTTGGCGTGTAGCTGGCGCTCAGCCAGGTTGGTGAGGCTGCCGCAGATGGGGGTCAAGGGCTCCGTGTAGTCCGTCTCCATGATATAGCACGGGAGCCTCACCCAATATTCCTGTCGTGGGCGATGGGGGTGAGGTGGGGGTGCTGGGGTCAGCCAGCCTGGGCATCGCACAGTCCTGTGATGAGATCGTCGGTCCCTCCCCACCCCGACAGCCTTGTCTCAGCCTTGCTTCTCCAGAACCACACTCCGTCCCGCTGACTGACCACCTCAGGCCCATCGACTCTGCTGCCCAGCCTGGGTATCGGCCAAGGCCGTCTAGGCTGCACCCACCCCATGGCCAAGGGGTCAGCTAGTCCTGGGCCCTTGACCTCTGTGCCCCCTGCCTCACTCCAACCCCGCAGCCAGCACATCCTCTTTGACCAGCCCTCCCTCCAACCCCCAATCCCCTAGAGAGGCACACTGGGCAGACAACCTAGCCATGCTTGCCAACTGTGATGATTAGTTTCTATGTGTCAACTTGGCAAGTGAATGCACACAGTTATCCAATCAAACACTAATCTAGGCATGGCAGTGAAGCTATTTTGATGCAATCTGATGAAAGTCCATAATCCATATAAGAGGTTACTCTGGAAAATGTGAGTGGACTTGATCAAATCAGTTGAGGGCAAAAAAAAGGTTTCCCTGAGGAAGAAGAGAGTTTGCCTCAAGGTTGCAGCCTCAGCTACTGCCTGAGTTTTCAGCCTGCTGGCCTACCTGCTAAATTTCGGACTTGCCAGCTCACAATTGCACAATACATATGTTGTTGTTCAGTTGCTCAGTCATGTCCGACTTTTTGCGATCCCATGGACTGCAGCACCCCAGGCCTTCCTGTCCTTCACCATCTCCTGGAGTTTGCTCAAACTCATGTCTATAGAGTCGGTGATGCCATCCAATCATCTCATCCTCTGTTGTCCCCTTCTCCTCCTGCCTTCAATATTTCCCAGCACCAGGGTCTTTTCCAATCAGTCGGCTCTTCCCATCAGGTGGCCAAAGTATTGGAGCTTCAGCTTCAGCATCAGTCCTTCCGATGATTATTCAGAGCTGATTTCCTTTTGTATTGACTGGTTTGAGCTTCTTGCTGTCCAAGGCACTCTCAAGAGTCTTCTCCAACACCACAATTCTAAAGCATCAGTTCTTTGGCCCTCAGACTTGTTTATGCTCCAACTATCTCATCTGTACATGACTCCTGGAAAAACCATAGCTTTCACTATAGATTTTGTCTGCAATGTAATGTCTCAGCTTTTTAGTATGCTGTCTAGGTCTGTCATAGCTTTTCTTCCAAAGAGCAAGAATCTTTTAATTTCATGGCTGCAGTCACCATCTGTAAAGATTTTGGAGCCCAAGAAAATAAAGTCTGTCACTGTGTCCATTGTTTCCCCATCTACTTGCTGTGAAGTGATGGGACTGGATGCCATGATCTTCATTGTCTAAATGTTCAGTTTTAAGTCAGCCGTTTCACTCTCTTCTTGCACCTTCATCAAGAGGCTCTTTAGTTCCTCTTTGATTTCTGCCATAAGGGTGGTGTCATCTGCATATCTGAGGTTATTGATATTTTTGAGAAACAGACACAGACACAGACACAGACATCTCCGACTTGTTCTATTTCTCTACAGATTCTTTGAGCCATGACTCTAGCCTTTCAACTTCCCCCTGCCGTCTCCCGTCTCGCCAGGTGATCACTGAACGCCCCCAGCGACCCTGACTCCTCTTAGCCCCCCTCCCACCCCGAGGAGTCTGGGGGGAGCTCCGGTGCTACTGACAAGGGGGTGTGCTTGGTGTGCTACAGCCATCGGGACCAGAATCCCTGGCTACTGGGTTTCCAGGGACGTAGCAGAATGAACAGGAAAGAACATTTTTATCCTGGCTCCACTTTTTACCAGCTTCGAATCCTTGAGGAAATTAATGAGTCCCTCTGAGCCTCAGTTTCCTCATTGATAAAAGCTTGGTAATAATAACAACAGACCTTACCTCACAGGGTGCTTGGGATAATTAAATAAGATTCTAGATACTACACATCTAGTACACTGCCTGCCACGTGTACTCAATGAATTGTAACCACTCTTATTATTATTACTATAACTGTTACTTTTGTAATTAAGAGAAGCTGCCACTGGATGGGGAGCATCTGGCCCATGGCCTCAATTAACAGATAATGATTCCCTCCATGTGCAGTCATGGTAAGCTTTCCCTATCTTACTGCTATGTCACATTGTAATGCAATTAAAAACTGACGCATTTGTTCCCCTAAAGCCTGTGAACAGCTTGGGGTCACACTGAGCCTTCCTGTGTATGCCCGGATGCCTCACACAGAGTTGGAACTCGTGAGTGTTTGTGAAATATAACCCCTAGAGTCACTTACTTGCACACTCACACATATACACACATGCATGCATGTGCATGGGCTCCACAAGTGGCTCTGGTGGTGAAGAATCTGCCTGCCAATTCAGAAGACAGGTTTGTTCCTTGGGTCTGGAAGATCATCTGGAGTAGGAAATGGCATTCCACTCCAGTATCCTTGCCTGGAAAATTCTATGGGCAGAGGAGCCTGGTGGGCTACAGTCCATGGGGCCACAATGAATCAGACATAACCGAGTGACTGAATACATGTGCGCGCGGGCACACACACACCCCTGGACTGAGGGGCTTTAAGGTGAGATGCATTTCAAGCAATAAGTCAAGTGATACGTATTAGGCCTACTGTGTGCCAAGCACTGCCCTGCTGAAGGTAATAAGGTCCCATGAAGGAAGTGAATCTTGAAAAACGAGCTCAGGCAATTGAAAGATCTGGGGCCGCCCATCCTCCCAGGTAGTGGGAATGGGAGAATTCTGGGCCTGTGCTATCCTCCCCTCACAGCCTCGCACAGCACAGACATGAGCCAACAGTCCCAG